TTTTTTAACTTCCGGTTTTTTGTTTTGTTTTGTCAGGTCACTGCGGTGTAAACCAGCTCATTATATTTCTATTGTCGGCTAATTGCGTTTGATGGGGTTTCCGTGGACCCGCCTTCTCGGTGTTTGTCGTTAATTTACTTTCGCTATCGGTCATCACACTTTCAGCTGACATCCTGTCGTTATATCATCACGTGACTGCCCCCCCCCCCCACTCGACATCTACTCTTGTACGCCGACCCATGTACGCTGACCCCTGTACGTCGACCCCTGCGTTTAGAAACCCCCTGACCTGGCTTCCTTTCGGAGGAATAATTTTAGCAATGCCTCATTGGCTGCAAATTTTGTTTAATTAGTATGTTGACTTTCACTTTCAGCGGTAACTCAACCATAATTGGGCATACATGAGGTGTAACATAAAATATAAACTTGTATCAAGTAGGCCTACATCATTTCTACGTTGTTAGACGTTTAAAATATATCAAATTTAAAAGTCGTGTTATATACTGTTGACTTAAAGCTGTAACCTTGTCAAAAATAAATATAAAGTTAAATATGTTAACAAAATTTCTGTTTGAAAAGCAATAGTATGTGTAATTTCTTTAAAGTAAAAATTACTCAATACTTCACAAAATATTTGCTTTATATTTTTTATTCAACAAAACGTCACTACTACGTAAGCCCCCGCCCACCCCGTCCACGCATGGACCGGAAACTGGAAATCTTCTGTTGGAAAGGTTACCTTTTTCCCCGTGTCTGCGTGGAGCCGAAAGGGGAACATTTCAGGCCAGAAAATTGCTCCTAACTGTCCACTAATTGGTGTTTATTGTCCTCATTTTCTAGCCCTGTTCTCGGAAAACGATGACCTATTTCATGCAGTTTTTTAATGTTACAATATGTAGGCGTGGTTGTATTCACTGAACTGTAGGTTGGCTGAACTTGTGTTTAATGGTCAATCTTGTGTGTGTGTGTGGGATTTTGTGGATTGTGTGTGGCGTGTGAGTTGAGTGTCTACAACTGGAAATTCCAACCCATGTTGATCGAGTGTAGCTCAAATTGGGGTAGTGCGTACAATGCTTGAAGTTTCTCAACATACAGATGATCCTAAAACTTGCTATACTTTAGCTCTAGCACCCTGAACAACAACACACGTTCAGTCTTGTTTTTTTTTTTTACTTTGTCCCCCCCTACATTTAATTACCAGTAACTTACTGTAACAGGCTGTTCAACAGAATTTGCTAACAGGCTGTACAACAGCATTTGTGAACAGGCTGTACATTTGCTAACAGGCTGTACAACAGCATTTGCTATCTAACAAGCTGTACAACAGCATTTGTTAACAGGCTGTACAACAGCATTTGTTAAGAAGCTGTACAAAAGCATTTGCTAACAGACTGTACAACAGCATTTGTTAACGGGCTGTACAACAGCATTTGCTCATCAACAGCATTTGTTAACAGGCTGTACAGCATCATTTGTGAACAGGCTGTAAAACAGCATTTGCTAACATGCTGTACAACAACATTTGCTATCTAACAGGCTGTACAACAGCATTTGCTAACATGCTGTACAACAGCATTTGCTATCTAACAAGCTGTACAACAGCATTTGTTAACAGGCTGTACAACAGCATTTGTTAAGAAGCTGTACAAAAGCATTTGCTAACAGACTGTACAACAGCATTTGTTAACGGGCTGTACAACAGCATTTGCTCATCAACAGCATTTGTTAACAGGCTGTACAGCATCATTTGTGAACAGGCTGTAAAACAGCATTTGCTAACATGCTGTACAACAACATTTGCTATCTAACGGGCTGTACAACAGCATTTGCTCATCTAACTGGCTGTTCTACAGTCAACTTTTCTTGAATGGGTTCTCATAGAAATAAATTTCGAGGCAGATACCAATGTCAAGGCCACCTGCTACTGCACGCAGTCAATTAATTACTTTCGGTGAAACATGTCTGATTGCTGCTTAGCTAATGAATCACCCGTCGCGGGCTGGCTCGCCACCCCAATCAGCCGCAATTATAAATCCACGCTGTACGTATGAACAACGCCAGACATAATTAATAAGATTAATTGCAGCTTATATTCAACCTTATAATGGTATTACATGTCATGATGGGTGTTTTGGATTCATCATAGTAAAACTGAAGTGCTGGGTTGTTTTTTAGCGTGACACTAACATTGTTGTGATGGTTTTGTTGTTGTTTTTCTTGCTGTTTTTTTTCTTTTGCGTTAGAATGGCCTAACGTCGACTGGGTTTCTAATTTGTTAACATCTGGATTAAACTACGTCACTTATTGATCATTTTATTATGGTCCAGTTTTTGAAAGATAGTATCTAATCTACGGATAAGATTTAAATTTAAAACTCACTGACGTTAACCAAAATAATCACATCCGTTCATTCATGATTTAAACAGCATCATCTATCACGTAGATTGTACTAATTTTACTCCGTCAAAAACGTGGATACGGCAGCAGTTCCTTTAACCACTATCTCGCTGTTGGAGAGTGCCACCCCACAACGCACACAAATTCCATTATACCTCCCCTGGCCGTCCAGATAATACAATAATGTGATCTTAATTTGATTTTAGCAGCACAAGCCATCGTTATCCACCCCACCCCTCTCCCTGAGGACCAGCAGTGTTTATTACTTTCTTCCTAACCAAAGCAACTGATACTTAACTCGTGCGGTAGGAGTTACCTACTACACTTACCAAACGTTGCTCACATTGTGAATGCCACCACCACCCCCCACCCCATCCCCACCCGCCGCTGGCGATTTAGCAACCGATTGTACTGTGACCTATTGACCCAACAAAAGTGTCTCTACACCCTGCTCCTATCACTGCTGGGCTCCATCCTGCCCAAATATCGTTGATTATCTCACGTGACTAGCACACGTGACCTATTCGCCATCTGCCCAATCGCGCCTGTAGTTTACCTTTGTTTATAAATAAATCAAGTCGTGATACAATGGAATCCTTGACTGGAGCTCTTCTTTTATTGAAGTACCATACTATGTAGGTCGCCATACACGGACTAGATCAAATATTAGGGTAAAATATAGGGACAAAGTCAAATATATTAGAATAAAATATAGGGACAACATCAAATATATTAGAATAAAATATAGGGACAACATCAAATATATTAAAATAAAATTTAGGGACAACATCAAATATACAAGATAAAGATTTATGGTGAACAAAATCAAAATATAAGAATAAAATATAGGAGCAAACATATTTAAATGAAATATAGTCATAAATATTTCAAAATAAATAAACGTATTCAAATATTAGAACGAAGTGTAGAGGCAACATCAAAAAGATTACAACAGCATACAAGGCCAAAGTCTAACAGGATAAAATATAAGGCTTAAATTTGCAGATCAATAGCTTCGTTTTACAAAAGACAAGTGCCAGAGACACTATGCAATAAGGCAAACGTATTTCCTTGGTGCTTTATTTATAGTTGTTGTTTGTTTTCATCCAATGCACAGGTTTTGTGTTAGTTAAAATGTTTCATCCCACGTCACTTAATTGTAAACGCACGCAATCGTAGATTTCCTTCACAATAATTATGTCCGTTTAATTTTTTATTCTGTCAATGTTATTTTACCTTAAACTGTTGTATTTTTAAGGAAAGCTTTGTTTCTTTTTTGCCCAATTACTCTTGTATTATTGCCTCTTTAAACTTTTGGACTGTTTAAATGTATTTATTTTTAAATCCCTTTATCTGATAGCCAACCAGCCACTTGGAGATAGTCTGGCCATTTTGTCCCCCTTGCGTTGCCTTATCAGCACTTAATTCTTGCTGAAGATATTACGTTTGGCAAGAAGTGGCTATCCTTGCTGCCACTGCATCCTATCAGGCAACAAATGCTTTCTCACAGGAAGAGCACCTGCCGCTGTCTGTTTCTGATAAAAGTTTGATCCTTCCGAATTAGAATTTAAATTTTATATGTGGGTTACATTTAAATTAGTTCTAGATTTCTAGAACAATATTAGAATAAATTGCTGTTGGTAGATGTTAATTCAAATAATTAGTTAGGGATTAGGTCTACTTTAAAAAAAAACCTTTTTGATGTTATTGTACTTGCACTAGATCGAAGGATCTCTATAAAAATGGGCAGTTTTTTCCCCCAAGCTAAGTCAAGATCAATTTATTTTAATTTTATTATTGGGGTAAAAAAACTAAACTAAAAAATTTATAGATCTTTCTACATAGTTTTTTTTTCTTTAAAATGTAAAATATAAAAACTAGATTTTAAGTCCAGTTTCTGCATTTTTTTAGATCTATAATTTTAATTATATAAAATAAACATATTTACACTTTACAGTCCTGACATGTAGATCTAGGCCATTTTAATACTGTTTATAGTGTTTATTATAAAAACAATTATTTACAATTTTTCTAATCAAAAAGACCTAGATCTAATTTGTTTTTAATTTAGAAATTAAATTAAGGTGCAGGGCAGGCCTAATTTAAGTTTTTGTCTGCATGCTTGCTGTTATTGGCTAAATCTATTTTATATAAACAATGTTCAACCTCTGCATGTTTTTGCACACCATTGGCATTATGTCTTACTCTTAGCCTAGCCAATATTATTATCATTTTTATTTAATGCTTTGGTTCAACTGGCCTTTGGATTTATTCTTTTAATTAGACAAATCAGGCTTCTGCAAAATCAGACTATTCTATTCTCAAAATGTAGATTAAAATTTTATGACCCCTTTTTTTTTTTTTTAAATTTAATTTACTTCTTTTATTTATACACATTTAAGCATAGTTATTTTTTTTAATTTCTGACAGCTCCCTTTTTTTAAAAACAAGTTTTCTATTTCATAATTCAAGATGTTGTAGGCCATTTTTAAAAAATTATTTCTTAAACATATTTTTTTTATTTTACATTATTTTCTTTTTGTATTACTTTTATGTGCTTATCTCTTAGTAGATATATTAACTGTAAAATATTTTTTTCTCAGGAAAACCGGCATCTTCATGACTCGAATGAAGAGCTGAATGCCCAGCTTCTCAATCAGTGTATCGGGGAAGGTAAATCCTTGCTGGGAAATACAGAAGGCCAGTCTCTAGCACAGGAGCTGGAGCACCTAACTAAAGAAGAGGTTAGTGAATCTCACTATTCAATCAAGTTTACAGAAAAGCTATTAGTGAACGGTTTCAAATTTTTTGTATGTAAATCAAAGATATAAAATGTATCACAAGAAGCATATCCATTTTGGAGAATAGTTTTTGTAATGATGATAACATAAACATTACCAAATTACCAATCTTTTAAAACTGTATTTTGTTTAAAAATAATATTGTTTAGGAAATGGAAAGGTGAGTATTGTCTGACAAAGCAGTGAATCATGAATTTATTAATACAACGAAGGTAATTATTTTCCTCTCAGGCACTGATATTAAATTACATGACGTAAATTGCATCTTTGATTTTTCTACAGCTCCTGGCTCAGCTGAAACTAGAGCGTGATGTAAACTTTCGGCTCAAGCAGTATGTGGATCATATTATCATCACAATCCTTGAAAAAAATCCTTCATTGCTGGATATAACTCACAGGTGAAGGCTGCTTACAAGTCCGCCATGCCTTCACATTTCCCTGTTACTGCAATATCCATTTCCCTTATTCCCTGTCCACAATAGAAGTTTACCATTTGTAACAAGATTTATACAAGGTTCATACAAAAGACTACAAATTTTTACCTGTGGTGTTTATTAATAGGAAAGGAAATCATATTTAATATTTTACGCGTTTAAAAATTACTTTTATATTTTGAAAAATGTTAAGCAGCTGTTTTGAAATTCGACTCTCAATGTTATTTTTATAATCGTGCTCCTTGTGGTCAATCTTCTGATGAAGAGGAAGTTGTTTAGGCGAGATTTAGATTAAAAAATAAACCTGCCTGCCATTAGGGACAGACTCTGTGTAAACAGACACTGGAGATTTTAGTTGCAACTTTTTGATTAGACCCTCGTCCAGGGAGCTGCAAGTACGAACTTCAAGCATTCCATTTTAACAGTAACTTGGCCTTGTGTTTCTATGAACACCAAACACATTTTTTACGACAGTTTGTCATTTTTAACTTTTTTAAACCTGTTTGTAAATTACAATCTGTGTCAAATGTACATAATGTCCAACTTGTTTGAAAGGCTCGCACTAAAGAGCTACAGTTGTTTTATTTTAGTTGTGTAAATAAATAATCTGTTGTGTGGGCGAGGACCTGCAGAGTCATTTGAGAGTACAAATATTGAGGTCAGAGTTGAAAGTACAAATATTGAGGTCAGAGATCAAATTTTATGTGCACCTACCCATTGTGCTGTTGGGCTATATTTAACCACATTTTTAACACTTGTAAATCCGCAGTTAGAAGAAGTCTAGGGCATTTGATCCGCCTTTACTGCGGACCCAATACTGTGATAACACTAAATAAAAATCAATGTACAAAAAAATAAGCACAAATGTAAACAAAGTTTTAGCATGTCTGTAAAGAATTTCAAATTTTAAGGAATGTACAAAATTTTATTTAGTATTTTCACATACACAAATATTTCAGTATACTATATGGACTTGTGTTTTACAAATATTGAAGAATTTTATAAAAAGTTTAGTTGTAGGATTTTCTCTTGAAGAAACCTTGTCACTGTGTGAAGATTAATGTACAAAACAGGTGAAAAAACTCTTTTCATAATCTTTTTAATTATACCCTATAAGTATAAGTAACATTTTTAAACAATTTTTAACAATACAAGTCTTTCAAATAGGACTAACCCGTCTCAGTACATCAAACAATTTTCTGGCTACTATTTAAAAATTTGCAAGCCTTCTAATAAAAACTGCTCTAGCTTCTGTTGGAAACCTTAGCATTTATACTTTATTTATTTCTTTTTTTTTTTAATAGTTTGCTGTAGTATTCTGCCATAAAAGCTAACGTAGTTCAGTGAGACTTAAGAAAAATAAATCACCATATCTCATAACACAAAATTACAACATATTGTTTATACCTGGTGCAAGTTAATATTGTGAAAAACATTTTATAATAATAAATATTGATGATGTTGTAAATATTGTATGATTGTAAGACCTTGTCGGCTGCGGAATTACTTTTTTTGACCCAGTGAAAAACATCTGTATTTTGTTTTTGTATATTGTTGCGCTTTTAATTTAATGCCAAGCTTAGACTGGTTTAGTTTTTGTTACCTTCTTAGTTGTCCAATGGCATTTTAAATTGTAACCCAGCTTGTTTAACCATGGGCTGTAGGTCTAGTGTGGCTTTTAGTGATGGCTCACAGTGTTAGATTTTGTTTTACCTTGTGACCATGTGTGTGATTCAACTGTAGCTATGCACATCTTCGATGAAATGTTAATTGTTGTTGAAATCTATATAACTTATTTAAGAACAAGAACTAGATGTGGACACCCAGAAATATCATCACCCTGCGGAGTGGGTTAAGAATGTTATGACAGTAAGCTACCTAAGAATTGTGGGTATTCTTGTGGCTGTATGAATGGAACATTTTGCCAGCTGTTTGGATGGCTTGTGGTCATAGTATGAGCAGTCGTAGTACATGTGAAATGGTAGTCTGACCTCTTAAGTTCAAGAAACTTTGAAGAACATTATGTTGAACATAATGCTTCATTTCGATTGAAAGATAGCAAGCTGTGTTTTTCATTTAAACTTAACGTCAACCCTATCTAATGCAGACTTACTAGTTTTCTGATTCTGTTTATAATGAATTAATTCTTTCATCTGAACTTAATTTTTAAATATATAATGTGTTGTCCATGTAAGAATGAAATGTTTTCTAGTTTTTGCAGAAGCCTCAAACACAGACTGATAAACTTTAGTAAAATAAATTTTTGATTCCAAGTCTGAGTGCTGAATGCCTATATTTTGTTACAGTTTCCTGTCCACATATTATTGCCTTACCTATTTGGCGTGTATTTGGTACCTTGCGGTGATTTGTCCAAGTGATTCTAATTTCTATCGCTATCAGTCCTAAAAAATACTTAAGAATTGAGATGTTGAAACTAGTGTTGTAAAACTGAGATTTGTTTCTCACACTCTCTAAATAAACAGTTGCCGTTGCCATCCTGCTGTGTCATGGAGTTGCCTTGTTTATTTTTTGTTTATTTGTTGTTTCTGTTGTTTGTCAATGGTGGTGTGTGGTCAATGTAAAATGTACATGCTGACTGCTTTGTACTGGATGGTTTCTTTCAAAAGGATTTGTCTGCTTTTGATTGGGTGGGGTAAGCATCAAAGGGATTTGTCCACTAGTTTATTTTACTATGTGGGGTGGGTACCAAAGGGATTTGTTCATATTAGCAAAGTTCTCACAAACAGCGGGTAACATTGAGTAGACTAGCTGGTAAACTCTTGTTTACACGAGGGTCTATAAATGAGACAGTTGTCATTTGGAAGGTTGTAACCCACTACCACACCATCCCCTTTCTGTACCACTCAATTACATAAATACATCTGCTTACATTTGAAATGAAAAACACATCTGCGAGCTCCTACAATGTAAATACATCAGCTTACATCCAAGCAACTACATTGTAATGCCATAAATAGATAAACTTACATCCAAGCTACTACATTATAATGACACAAACAGATCTGCTTACATCCAAGCCCCTGACTACTTACACCTGCTCAGCAAATGAAAAAGAAAATTTATGGTTTAAACGATAAGGCCCCGGCAGTTGAGTGACTGGTTGACACCAATTGACACATTGATTTCCTGCAACAATGTGAACATTTGCTCAAGCAGAGAGAAATTTCTTTGAGGGAAACCTTTTTTTTTTACTAGCCTAATAAACAAGAAGCCTTGACCTATATACCAGAAAACAATCAAACAGTGTGTGGTTCCTGTTGGATGTTTCCTATTTCTTTTCTCCAGACAGGCAGAAGATGGTTGCGATAATGCCACGACGATTCAGATATCCATTTCGTTTGTTCTAATGTAGTTTATTTCATTCTTGATTGGTATTCTTTTATTGATTCTCTGCATTCTCGTGTTTTATTTAATGACTTTTACTGCACTGAATTCAATCAGATTGTTACGAATTATGAGTAATTAAATTAAAAAATTATTTTAGATTTTATAGCGGGAAAAAAATCTTTCCTGGCAACTTCTGAAAAAAAACCTCATTTGGCAATAACCGAGAAATCGTTTTTTTTTTAATATATTTAGATAGACAACTTTTGTTAATTTGTAGGCGAAGAAAATAAGCTCCAATACTAAAAAATAACGTTGTGTTTGTCAATTTGTGCTAAGGAATTTTTAGCATGTGAGGAAGTTGCGTATAATCCCACTTTCGGTTTCCACGGCGACGAACAAATCTCCGTAATCGAGTAGTTTTTTTTTTTTAATTCTTAAAACTTTGCGAGACACGCAACAGGGAAGCTGCGTAGCAATAGTTGCAGGCTCAAGGGCTCTAGGCTAGACTTGGTTCAGTCTAGATAAGACGGGTCACATAAATCGATGCTGTGGTCATGCGTGCTGAGCACGAGTTCAAATGTCCAGAGAGCAATGAAGATACACTAAAACAGTAGAGTGAGGGGGCCCACCACTAAAACAGTAGGTTGGGGGGGGGGGCACCACTAAAACAGTAGAGTGAGGGGGCCCACCATTAAACTGGTAGAGTGAGGGGGCCCACTACTAAAACAGTAGAGTGAGGGGCCCACCATTAAAACAGTAGAGTGAGAGGGGACCACCACTAAAACAGTAGAGTAAGGGGGCCCACCATTAAAAGAGTAGAGTGAGGGGAGAACACCACAAAAAAAGTAGGGTGGGAGGGCCACCATTAAAACAGAGTGGGGGGGGCACCACTAAAACAGTAGAGTGAGGGGGCCCACCACTAAAAACAGTAGGGTGAGGGGCCCACAAATGACGTTGAAACCAAATAACTGGTCTCAGTGGCGTATTTACACACTCAGTGACTGTCTCAATTTCTCTACTCCATCCCTCCGAAACTGTTGATCTAAAAAAAAAAGCCTCCCGGGCCTCCCCACTCGTACCCCGTCTATTGCATCCCGACCATGGTCCCTCCGTGCCTTAAACAATGTGATTATACCTCTACTTCATCAATACGTGACACCCCCCACACCCATCTATAAATTACACCCCACACCCATCTATAAAATACACCCCCACTCCATCTATAAATTACAACCTGACATGCCTTAACTCTGCAGTAAAAAAAAAAATCATAAATCTGCCGGGTGACGTCGAATTGATTAAAAATCGATCAGTCGCCGAGCAGACGATTGCAGGCTGTAGACGGTTGCGTACCTGCGGGACGTCACCAGATACCCGGAGCCATCCTCAGGTGCATGTAGGAGGTCGGCACGCGTGGTCTGGTTGTCATGGTAACAAACTCTTGAGGAGCTCTTCATGGAACGGTACTTGGATGTTTATTTTTGATGGGAGGTGCCGACACAGATTGTATGGCATCGCTTAAGTACCGACGTAGTGTGTGTGGGGGGGGGAGGGTGAGGGAGTCCCGATTTGCTCAAAAGAACATACATATATATATATATATATATATATATATATATATATATATATATATATATATATATATATATATATATATATATATATATATATATATATATATATATATATATATATATATATATATATACTAGCTGCTTATCCGTTCCTAGCCACGGGGAATCTTTTTAATGTTCCAGCTATGGAACAGAAAACAACTAAACACAAAAGAAAACACAAACACAACGCAAACTCAAAACAAACACAAACGCTAAAAAAACACAAACGAAAACACAAACGCAAAACACAAACACAAAATTAAACACAAACACAACGCAAACACAAAAGAAAAGACAAACACAAAAGAAAAGAAAACACAATGTAAACACAAACGCAACATGATAATATGACTAAAAATTATAAAATTGCTTGAGACAATGTTGTAATAAGTTATATTTTATACATCAAATATATTAGGCAAACCAGCACTCTTTCCCACCACCGCCACTTACGCATATTGACATACCTATAACAAAAAGTCATTTTTAAAGCACTGTCCTCGTTTTTTTAATATTCAGCTAGAAAATGTAATATTTCAGCTAGAAAATGTAATATTTCAGCTAGAAAATGTCACATTTCAGCTAAAAATGTCACATTTGAGCTAGAAAATGTCATTTCAGTTAGAAAATGTCACCTTTAGGACACAATTTAAAACACGTGATGGTAACCGCAGACGAGCGCGAGCAGTTAAACGATTGGATGGCGTCACTAGGTCGGCTATTGATTGGATAACGTCCCAACCCCCGGGAAAACCATTGATCCCCCAGTCGCTATCTCCGATCGTCTGCTTCACCCAAGGGCAATCGCTGTGTTGTAATGTGCCCATGCACCGTATCGGAATACCCCAGCGCTATCTTTGTACGGTTGAATGACCCCGTCTCGTTGACCTACACTAGCTCGTGCAAGTGATGAATGGGCTTCAATGTATTGTAGACATGATCTAACATCGTCACACGAAGGCTATTTGTCACTCGATAGAAAGTCATTTGAGCTTATAAGAGAAAAAAAAACGACTATTTTCAGTATCCATTTATAAAAAAGTCATCAGTTTTACTAAAACTATTAAATAACAGTATTAGATAATTGCTAGCGAGTAGAAAAAGTGTAGTTATACGCCAGTACTTGGTGTAGAAATTTTTGGTCGCCAGTACTTAGTTTAGTAATATTTGACCGCCAGTACTTAGTGTAGAAATGGTCGCCAGTACTTAGTGTAGAAATTTTTGGTCGCCAGTACTTAGTTTAGTAATATTTGGTCGCCAGTACTTAGTGTAGAAATATTTGGTCGCCAGTACTTAGTGTAGAAATATTTGGTCGCCAGTGTTTAGTGTAGAAATATTTGGTCGCCAGTACTTAGTGTAGAAATATTTGGTCGCCAGTACTTAGTGTAGAAATATTTGGTCGCCAGTACTTAGTGTAGAAATATTTGGTCGCCAGTACTTAGTGTAGAAATAGTCGCCAGTACTTAGTGTAGAAATAGTCGCCAGTACTTAGTGTAGAAATATTTGGTCGCCAGTACTTAGTGTAGAAATATTTAGTCGCCAGTACTTAGTGTAGAAATAGTCGCAAGTACTTAGTGTAGAAATAGTCGCCAGTACTTAGTGTAGAAATAGTCGCCAGTACTTAGTGTAGAAATAGTCGCCAGTACTTAGTGTAGAAATGTCACGCTCAGTTTTATTAATGGCGTCTTGTAATCGTATGTCTGTCACAGTCGTTGCTAGCTGTGGGGAGGGGGGGGGGAGGGGGGTCAAAGGTGACATTTTAAAAATACGTCGACAAGGCAGTGTGGGGGAGGGTTGGGTCGGCATGACCTGGTTCTGTGGAAAAGGTCGCTGGATAGAACTTTAGAACGTTCTCTGCGAGATCGGATTAAATTTTTTACAGGCGCCGTTAGCATTACACACAAATCTCCCCCCCCCCCACACACACACACCACACACAAACTAGTTCACACCACAACACCTCCTCACTGGGGGATAATCCAAGAAAGATTAGATTAGTCATAGACATTAATAGACAACATAACAACGCCGACTAATCTGATTAGTCAAGTTCCAGACTAACTTCTTGGCTGTCTGGAAGAATGGCTGCAGATATATTAATAAAACTTGAATAGCTGCACATATCTGTATACATCTAAGATGGCTACAGATATCTGCATATAACTAAAATGACTACAGATATCCGTATATTTGAAAAACTTACTTAATTTTAATGAAATGTTTTATTTTCAAACTATCGGCTACACAGACGTACCGTGTAGTGTAGGCCTACTTTTAACTTACAAGTTATGTCGTGCCAATGTGGGGTGGGCTGGGTTTTTGTTGACGAATATCTGGTAGACCTTGTCTGCAGATAAAAATTTGGTTCGCATGCTGTGCTTCGTTAACATATTTATGGAATAGCCTGGTTAAGTAATTTTTAGTGAGGTAATCACCCATGGGGTTATGTGTAAGGTTAACTCCACAAAATCCCACACATATATGTAAGGTTAACTCCACACAATCCCACACATATATGTAAGGTTAACTCCACACAATCCCACACATAGGATTGTGTATAAGGTTAACTCCACTTGGGAACAACTGAACTAGGATAATTATGTTCAGATTGTGAGTGCATCTAATGGTGATGACATATCACCCTCCAACAAATGCCCTACCCCTAAATTAGTTGCATTTCTGATATATAGTTATGACATGACGTTATGGCATGAGGCAATGACATTAGACTATGACATGATGTCATTCAACTATAGAGTACATTTTCATGTATAACATCCTTTAAGTGACTTAACACAATATTTGGAGTATGGGGGGGGGGGGTAACTTTTAAAATATTTAACTCCGACAGATATTTCCGTACACGCAAAACAAAATCAATTGTTTAAAACGTTGTTGAAATTATCATCAGCCAACCACAACAGCAAATCTATTAAATATTTTAGAATAAAACAGGAATTTGCTCTGAAGTGGGTTCATAATGAGACTCGGGTTGTAGCTAGGGGTCACAGTGAACCCAGAGCTTCGAGTGGGTCAACTGAGATTAGGGGTCTTCATGACAGCTCCCTTTAAGCTGCGCGGACGGGCACTAGTTGTAGACATACCGCGTTGTTGTGTTGTAAAATACACATAAGCTTGTAGTGTTTCATGGCCCGTGCACCCAGTACAAATGTTGCATACAACTTTTGCTAGAGGCAATGTTGGTAGTCACAACATAGATATGTGTCTTAATATTCGGGTCTATCGGGGTCTAAGTGAGAATAGGGGTAACGATGTCACTAGGGGTCACGGTTTAGCAAGGGGTCGCAGTGTAGGCCTAACTAGGGGTCACAGAAACTCCACTACACTTGGTGTTCACCAGCATGAGACAGCCATCTTTTACTACACTCATGTCCCATCCTCCTCCCATTGTCAGGGTTAAATGGGGTGTGTAGGAGGGGTGGGGTGAAGAGGTGGGTGGGGCGGATACCAAACTTTAACATTCCAGTCGTAGCCGGGGGTTGTTTTTAAGTTGACAACCAGCTGTGGTTGCGTGTGTTATTCTCACATCTTTTTTTGTCTCTCTCGGTTGTACTCGCAAGGTTTGCGCTCGCTCAGCATTGTGGTCCCACATGTTATGGTCCAACACTCAAGTCCCACACATTGTGGTCCCTCACATTTTGGTCCAACACTGTGGCTTGATACTGTGTTCCCACTCAAAGTGGCCCAACACTGCGGTCCTACATCTTGTGGTCCCTTGCATTATGGTCCAAGATTGTGGTCCCACACTTTATGGTCCAACATTGTGGACCCACTCAATGTGTTCCTATATTTTGTGGTCCCTCACCACATGGTCCAATATTGTGGCTCCCCACTGTGGTCCCACTAAAATGTGGTCCAACACTGTTTTCATATACATTGTGGCCCCTAAAATTAATCTCTGCGGACCCACACAAGAAACCTATGCCTAAAAAGCCTGTTTTTATGACGTGAAATTACAGATAACACACTATAGCCCTATCGGTGACTCAACGTTACACAACCCACCCCATCAGCCTGGATCCATACGGCCGTAAGCCCCAGGCTAGAGGACCTTAAGATCATACGGCCGTAAGCCCCAGGCTAAAGGACCTTAAGATCATACGGCCGTAAGCCCCAGGCTAGAGGACCTTAAGATCATACGGCCGTAAGCCCCAGGCTAGAGGACCTTAAGATCATACGGCCGTAAGCCCCAGGCTATAGGACCTTAAGATCATACGGCCGTAAGCCCCAGGCTAAAGGACCTTAAGATCATAAGCTACAAGGTGATTTTTTAAAAGCTGACAACTTTCAGTTCCCACATGAGTCAGACCAGGCGAGTCTATGATTACCTTGTTCCTGTCGCTCTGTTCTGTGCCGGTCTTTGACCCTGCCAGTACAGTGCCGGTCTTTGACCCTGTCAGTACTGTGCCGGTCTTTGACCCTGTCAGTACAGTGCCGGTCTTTAACCCTGTCAGTACAGTGCCGGTCTTTGACCCTGTCAGTACAGTGCCGGTCTTTGACCCTGTCAGTACAGTGCCGGTCTTTGACCCTGTCAGTACAGTGCCGGTCTTTGACCCTGTCAGTACAGTGCCGGTCTTTGACCCACCCTGTCAGTACAGTGCCGGCCTTTGACCCACCCTGTCAGTACAGTGCCGGTCTTTGACCCACCCTGTCAGTACAGTGCCGGCCTTTGACCCACCCTGTCAGTACAGTGCCGGTCTTTGACCCACCATGTCAGTACAGTGCCGGTCTTTGACCCTGTCAGTACAGTGCCGGTATTGTGAACTCATGACATGCTATAGACACTGACACTGAGCTGTTCGTCTGGGTTTTATTGTCTATTGTTTTCAAAACAGTCGTTGTAAAAACTGATGCATATTTTTCCTAGAGAACAATTATTTTTAGATTTAAGTCAATTAGAGATATATATCCGGTATGGGAATTATAGAAATATAATTTAAACATGTTTATGAAAACATGAAGTAAAAAAAAAACGAGGAGGGGAAGGGGAAGGGGTGGCTGAAGTGTGAAGTCATTTTAAGGTTTGTTTCTTTCTTTTATCCTGTGTGACGATGAGGGGGAATGGGTAGGGATCGACTCCAGTGGCGTAGCTAGGGGAGGGCAGGTGGGGCGGCCGCCCCGGGCGCCAACCCAACGCGGGCGGCAAAACGGGTTGAAAAAAATGTTAAAGCTCATTTTGTATTGAATTGCACACAACGTTAAGGTTTAACTGTTTCCTATACCCATTGTGTGGCACAAAAAAAAATGGTAAACAGTGCCACAAAATTTTTTAACCAGAGGGAAGGGAGCGCTTTTTTACAAACATTAATTACTATAATATAAATGGGGAGAAGGGGGGGGGGTGTAAAAAACTGCTAGTTCGTCCCGGGCGCCGTAATGGGTCGCTAGGCCTCTGATCGACACCCCCCTCCCCCTCCCCCTGTGAAAAAAATCGGTATTCACACTTAATTCTGGGAAATATACATTCTTAAACTTAGTCCTATTTATTATAGTTAATTTTGGAGAAATGAATCAACTCCAGTATTGTTGGAATCTATGAGACACGGAGAAGTAATGAAACACGAGTAAGATTAGCAAACATTTTTGCCGTGAGCTAAACAGGTAACCTTTAAATTCTGGGTGACCTAACAGGTCAAGGTCGACCTATCTCATGTCCCTGGGGGCAACCAAGGACCAACAGGTTAGCCGTTGAATTGTCTTAAGACGGGGATATGTCTCAGTTTCTGACACGGTGGCGCAGACAGGATTTTATTGTGGGGACGATATTATATATATATATATATATATATATATATATATATATATATATATATATATATATATATATATATATATATATATATATATATAATAAATGCAGCCTTAAAGCTTGGTGTCCATGGGGGGTCTAATCCTCTAATACCCCCCCCCCCCCCGTCTACGTCATTGTCTGATGTGTCATACATCAAGAATGGCAAAACATGAGGGACACAATGTACGGTAGCAATGATTGCGATAATGTCCTCGTGTCTATTTACCGTGTTTAGTGTTTGTTTGACCGCGGTAGATAGCGAACCCAGTCAGACCCAGCCGATACAATCGTCGTAAATCTTGCCCAGCAAAGTTTATATTTGTTTAACACGGGCCGTTTCATTGGCTGCGAACCGTGGGAAGCAACAAAAGGCTGAACCTCGTCCAATCAAAACAGTTGTTTCTGTTCCCTTACTGTAATAAATTGAGGGATAAGAAAGTTAAAGATTGCACATTTTTATCAGGGTCTAAAGCGATCAATATTTTTTTCTCCTGCTGCAGTCCCCTAAGGTATAGGTTGATAGTGTACGATAATCCTAGCTTGACAAGACAGACGTATAATATAGTTCGAAACAGGGGAGATTATCTAGTCAAACAACGCGTTGGCACTTTCTAGAAAGATAATTGAATTTTTCTTCGATTCAACTTTTTAAATACCTACAGGGTGCAGATAAGAGCCCCCCCCCCAATATACGTTTACCAGTGCCCCCCCCCCCCGGGAAAATGTTGTCCGCCCTCCTAAAATATCAAGCGCCCCCGGAGAAAAAAGTCTGGAAGAAACACTGACAGGGTGTATAGGATCTTTGTAGAATTTAGTGGGGGTCGTCCATAATTGATGTCACGCTATTTTAGCCGATTTACCCCCCACTCCTCCCCCTCCCCTACTGCCCACACGTAGCTCAATCTAATCCACCCCCTCCATCCCCCCACCCACCCACTGTGGACGTGACGATATAAATATTTATGCCCCCTGTGTCAACTTGCACTGAGAAATGCTGCAGGCTGAAATAATAATTTAAATCGATACTTTGATTTTTGAAGAAAACAAAATCAGGTATCCATCGATTTGGGTTAGATGGTGACCATATTGTCCCCATCATCATCATTCCTGTGGAGCCCTTGTGGAGCATAATGACACAACCACACTTCTTCATCGTTCTGAGCGATTCCTCCAAGTTGGGCCCACGACATTCCGGCTGCATCTGCTTCACTGAGAGATGATCTTTTCCATGTTTGTTTAAGCCCACCTACTTTCCTCTTTTTCTTGGCGATTCCAATCCAGAACCTGAACTGAGTAATTGCTGATCGAAATTTAAACATTGATCAACATTCAATCGACCGGACTAGAGTACCACCCTTATACACGCCTCTCTTAACCTGTCTGTCGACGCCCCCGTGTGACTTTTAGGCCGTTGACTTCTCCCTACCGCTAGTCTGGCTGGTTGTCGACGCCCCTGTCAACTGATGACCTGGGTAACCCGAGCCCCCAGGAACATTCAAGCATCACCGTGTCGCCATTTGTAATGGTAGAATCTGTTGGAGTCTGCTCAAGTTTAGTGCAGGAATTTCTTGTCGCCATTTGTAATGGTAGAATCTGTTGTAGTCTGCTCAAGTTTAGTGCAGGAATTTCTTGTCGCCATTTGTAATGGTAGAATCTGTTGGAGTCTGCTCAAGTTTAGTGCAGGAATTTCTTGCCGCCATTTGTAATGGTAGAATCTGTTGGAGTCTGCTCAAGTTTAGTGCAGGAATTTCTTGCCGCCATTTGTAATGGTAGAATCTGTTGGAGTCTGCTCAAGTTTAGTGCAGGAATTTCTTGCCGCCATTTGTAATGGTAGAATCTGTTGGAGTCTGCTCAAGTTTAGTGCAGGAATTTCTTGCCGCCATTTGTAATGGTAGAATCTGTTGGAGTCTGCTCAAGTTTAGTGCAGGAATTTCTTGTCGCCATTTGTAATGGTAGAATCTGTTGGAGTCTGCTCAAGTTTAGTGCAGGAATTTCTTGTCGCCATTTGTAATGGTAGAATCTGTTGGAGTCTGCTCAAGTTTAGTGCAGGAATTTCTTGTCGCCATCCCGTGCCGTGAGAGAAAAGTATTCTGGTTCATCTCTAGGTGACGTCTCTCCGGTTAGTTCCCGGCTCATTCTCCCCCCCCCCCCCCACCCAGTATTTGACAAGAGACGTTGGGTCTAGTTAGCACCGGAGTTGTGATGTCCTACAATACAACTTAGACGCAAAATATTTTTCTTCTACAGCCCCCCCCCCCAACAGAAGCGCCACTGGAGAGTTACCTTGCCCACTACCCCCCCACCACCACCACCCGTACATGAAGCGCCACTGGAGAATTACCTTGCCCACTACCCCCCCCCCCACCACCACCACCCCAACAGGAAGCGCCACTGGTAAAATTACCTTGCCCACTACCCCCCCCCCCCCCACCACCACCACCCCAACAGGAAGCGCCACTGGAGAATTACATTGCCCACTACCAGCTAAAAAACAGGTTACCTCCAGTGGTTTTGGTCCTTTATTAATAACCACACAATAGAACTGGATGTTTGACATTCAAGCCTCACTCCCCTTCCCCCACCCCCGGGCAAACAAGCAGACATGCACACACACACAACGCTGGAATACCTGGCCAGAAGCTGTCCCCCCCCCCCCCACCTCCCCGTGTCTTTGTGTGATCGTCTGCTCCAGCTGATGACTGGTCCTGCTTCCCTCGTTTGGGGGGGGGGGGGGAGTGGTTGGTTGTGGGTGCCTCGGTGGTTTGATGTGTACTAGCACTGTAGTGCTAAGGCTATATACTAACACTGTGTTGCTAAGGCCATATGCTAGCACTGTGGTGCTAAGACTATATGCTAGCACTGTGGTGCTAAGGCTACATGCTAGCACGGTGGTGCTAAGGCTACATGCTAGCACTGTGGTGCTAAGACTATATGCTAGCACTGTGATGCTAAGGCTACATCCTAGCACGGTGGTGCTAAGGCTACATGCAAGTACTGTGGTGCTAAGGCTACATGCTAGCACGGTGGTGCTAAGGCTACATGCTATCACTGTGGTGCTAATGCTACACGCTAGCACTGTAGTGCTAAGGCTACATGCTAGCACTGTGGTGCTAAGGCTACATGCAAGTACTGTGGTGCTAAGGCTACATGCTAGCACGGTGGTGCTAAGGCTACTGCTATCACTGTGGTGCTAATGCTACACGCTAGCACTGTGGTGCTAAGGCTACATGCTAGCACTGTGGTGCTAAAGCTACATGCTAGCACTGTGGTGCTAAGGCTACATGCTATCACTGTGGTGCTAATGCTACACGCTAGCACTGTGGTGCTAAGGCTACATGCTAGCACTGTGGTGCTAATGCTACACGCTAGCACTGTGGTGCTAAAGCTACATGCAAGCACTGTGGTGCTAAGGCTACATGCTAGCACTGTGGTGCTAAGGCTACATGCTAGCACTGTGGTGCTAATGCTATATGCTAGCACTGTGGTGCTAAGGCTACATGCCAACAATATGGTATTGAAGCGAAGAGCTGAATTGAATGAAATCGAAAATTGAAAATAGGGATAGACCTGGCTGAAAGTCCGGTAGGTTCTCCTTCTCTTCCAGCTTAGCACTTTTCAGGTGTTTTTTTATTGTAATCGAATGTGTCCAATATCGATTACAATCACAACCCTGTTATTGACTCTGGTAACAGAATATGTTTGTACAAAAATAATCATTATCTAACCTCGAGTAAACAATCATTATTTAAACCCCGGTAACAATCAT